CTAAAACACCAGAGCAGATGAACTATACTCAAGTGGAATCAATAGCAAATATTTAATGTTCCAATGTCTTAGCCACACTAGTGTCTTAGCCATGTCAGTGTCTTAGCCATGCCATCAGGATATACATTTGTACAATAAGCAGAATCAATAGCAAATATTTAATGACTCAATGTCTTAGCCATACCATTAGAATATACCTTTGTACAATTACATTCCAATGCTTTAATACCTGATAATTGGCTACAATATTACAGCTAAGACTTTGAGGTAGAAAAGTGGTACTATAGGGAAATTCCAAGCTTATATTTACAAGGTCTTATGCCTTAGTGGTATAATGCGCTGCGGTTGCTTTCGGGCTGCAGGTTCGATTCCTGCTTGTGCCATTTTTTGGGCTTTTCGGAAATTCTTCAGCGTATCTTAGCCGCTCTTGGGCGCTTCTGGGTGGCTAGTCCGGTGTAACTTAATAAGTTCCCGTGTCTGGGCTGCCGAACTTAATAAGTTCCTGTGTCTGGGCCGCCGAACTGAATCAGCTTGGTGGTGAGCGCACACTGAACGTGCCTCACGCTCTGGAAATTGCGACGGCTTGCGAGACGACCAGCAGAACAGCGGGCATACTCGAGCGGACCGGGCAGCGTGACGTCGGAACCATTATCCACCAGCTTGGCGCGCGCTTTGGCACTGAAACCTTCGGCAAACCACTTGTCGAAGGGGATGAGTCCCTGAGCAGACCTGCGTTGTTCTGCTTGGTACTGTGGCACAAAAATCACAGATTTATAATCAGAGAGCGAACCATAAGGTGCGTACGGTGTCAAGCAGTGCCATCGGACTCCAACCTTTGACAACATAAGCGAGCTTCCATGCTGAACAATACTTCAATGGGAGCAACCAGCCCCAAGAGCATGACAACCAAGCCAGCATTTGTGCGAACAATGACGGGTGCCAGAATTCCAAGATGAATAGATTGGGAGATTTTTGGAGATTTTTGTCAAGTTTAGCTTGATTTTGGCCCCAAAATTTAGTGCAGAGCGCCGCAACAATACCCAATAATTGCACCTTCTGGGGAGGCCTGTGATGCACGACGTCGTTTCTGATCAAAACTCGTACAGCACTTTCCTCATCTCACACTGATGCTTTTTAAAAAAAGCAGTGGACATGCCACACCCGCTCGTCGTTCTGGATTGCGCTACCGATCCCGTCGAACGTCGCACCCCAATGGGACAGCGCAGAGCATGCGACGCTGGACCTGTATCCACTGCCGCGTGCCGCCCTACCCTCGCGCACCTCTCGCTCTGAGACGCAGCCCTGCGCCCACCCGCGTGCCAGGCGGCCCCTGTTCTGGCCGGGCACGTCTCTCAGGCGCGTCCCCACGTCCGCTCTGCGCCTCGCTTGGGCACAGCCCTGGGCGACGACACCCAGCACGCGGTGCGGGGCTAGTATGTCCCTAACCAAGGACAAGAAGCAGCACGTCATCTGCGGCGATGCGCGGATGCCAGATGGGCAGGGCAGTGCTGTTCGCGCGGGACGTTTGTCGCGCGTGGACAGTGGCAGCCGCAGTGTTTTTGCGCGCAGCCGAGGGGACGAAGGCATGTGAAACAGCGAGAGGGGAAAAGGGGAAAAAGGCGTCGGGACAGATACGGTGCGGTGAGATGCGGCGCCACATTGTTTTCTCCCGTCCACAGATCACGTTCAGGCCCAGGTCCCGCCTCCAGCCCAAGCGGCCCATTACCGCGACCTACGCTCCTGCCTGACGCCAGCGTGGAGGCGCACGGTCTCATGTGCGTTTCCTTGCCGCCTGTTGCCATGACGACGGAATCGCTCGTCGTAGCAACACTCCTGCTTTTCGTCCGCCGCTCGTCTGCCTCGTCTCGTCGTTCTTACTTTGCCTGCCAAAAGAGCTCATCCATGGCCATCCAAGCGGCCATTGGTGCCGTCCGCCCTGCTTCCCAGGGCGCTGCCCATGTCCACGATGCATAGATCTCAGCGGCGCCCACCTCTCCGGTCTGCGGCTGCCGTCTGTTCGCAGCCTGCTGGGCTTCATCGGATAGTGGTTGAGAGTCCGGTCCTAAGGACCGGTCAGGACCGGGACTTGGACTGAGACTGGACTGATCAGGACTGGGTATGGTCCAGTCCTACGTCAGTCCAGTCTTGGTCACAGTCCTTGGTCCTAGATGGCACTGGGTGCTTTTAGGACTGGTCATGACCGGTCAGGACCAGTCACAGACCAATATAAAGTAACAAAAATGCAGCACCCAGAAAGCAGCTTGGCTACTGGTACATGTATATCTTAGTAATTTCTGAACTGCAACCATGCCCTTGTAGGCTTGTCCAAGTACACAGCCAGCTTAAGCACAGATTAATACATTTTTTAAAACTCTTTTTATGATTTATTCAAGTTTGGATGCGGTTACTGCACATAATCAGCTAAAGCCATGACCATGGGAAGATGGAGCCTGAGCGTAGAGATAACAAGGCTCTCAAGGATATGGAGGTTTTATACAGAAATGCTGAGAATGATGAAAGTGGTGCATGATACCCTTCTTCTCTATTTAGAATCCAGCCGCG